AGCACTACTAGGAACTAATAGTGTCTATTAGTTAGTACTTTTTAGTTTTTATCTCATGGTTCATGTCACCTTGCTCTATTATACTGACATTTCATTAAGAGAGTTTTTGTTTTATTTTGTGCTAGATTGTGCAAGAGGTACTGGTGTCAAGTGAAGTTCAAAATGAAATTGAAATACAAGTTGATCCTGATGATTTGCCAGARGATACTTCTACATCATGCCATACTCGTGACGTCAGCACTCAGTGTTTTCTAGACCAGCCTRTATCATATGTGGTAACAGCAAATGCTTCTACCCAGACAGACAATCTGCCAGAAACACCAGCAGATAACTTCAATGTATATACAGAAAAGCCTGGGTGTAATGATATACGACTGGTTGCCCTGGACCATTGTTACTCAAAACCTTGTCCAAGCCCAGAAAAAAAAATCTTGTTTGATTTCAGTGTCATGCTCTTAATCCAGTCGATGCGTTGCCGTTGCCTCACGAGTAGTAGGCGTGTTGTCCATATTTAACTGGCTGGTCGGTCGTTGTCGTTGCCTCACGAGTAGTAGGCGTGTCGATCTCTGTATTTGAGATCTCCTTGTCATCATAATTCAAAAAACCCTTGATCCTAACACCCAGACGAGTAATGAGTGCAAGAGTTTGGTGATAAACTTTCATGTTCTCTGGAATATTCGCCGGAAAAGTCAACAATAGTCAAAATGGTGGAGAAATACACATAACTGCACATGAAGGGAGAACAACGCGAACATCCAACACCACCTGGCTAACTGACGGTAGGCAATGTGTCTTGACTGTTTGTGCAGTGGCCCTTCATATAAATCCTGATACTGTTGTTTATACTGCATCCAGGCTGTTTTCAGAACCCATTGGTTCAAACATACTGCTGAAAACCCAGGATGCTGAGTGATACAGGTTGGAGCTTCGTGGCCAGCATACATGGGCCCATCATTTGGAAGGCTTTTACATGTGGTGAGAGTTGCATTGACTTCCTSGCAGCAAACACACTCTGCTTCTCTATCCATAATGGTACAGTTTCCACAAAGACACCTACATGTATAACAACAGTATTTTGAAATACCGTGCAGTAAAGCCTATTACATGTAGCACATAAAATAAAATATGGGTTTGTTATYGATCAATTTTCCATCGAACTAATATTTATTTAGGAAAAAGACATGAATGAATATATTACATAATTATAGCACAKTGAAACKTTTAGGCCTGGACTGAAACCTGCAAGTATGGTAAGTTATGTTCTAGAGATTTGCTAAGAGATGAATAAGCTAAAGAGACCTTCATCTTGTAATAATTATCCTTACTTATGAACTATCCAACAATACTAGTAGTATATAGAATGGTCTATTTTATGTACAAGCGAGTAACGAAATGAATACAAACACTACTGTAGGTCTGAAATAGTGTAAATCTAAATATTACTACATCATGCCGACTTCTTTCCTATTGTTCATTTACTGCTTGTTTGCACTTTATAGCAAGTACTGTTTCAGTATTT